GTTTTATGACAATGGGTAACAACTCCACGACATGTCAACACTGTCCCTTCTCAACCTTGGGTTCCCTATTACCAGCTTTCCTGTCCCCTCCTGCCTTCTAGTCCTTGTCCCTGGACTGTTGTGTCCCATTATCTCATTTTGTTTTATGAGCCTGTCCAATCTTTGGCTGAAGGGTGAACCTCAGGAGTGACTTCATCACTGAGCTAAAAGGGGCAGTACTCTCGGGGTTTCTCCAGCTCTGCCAGACCAGTAAGTCTGCTTTTCTTCTGTGAGTTAGAATTTTGTTCTACATTTTTCTCCAGCTCTGTCCGGGACCGTCTATCGTGATCCCCGTCAGAGCAGTCAGTGGCGGTAGCCGGGCACCATCTAGTTGTGCTGGACTCGGTCTGGTGGAGGCCGTGGTAGTTGTGGTCTACTTATCTCTTGAGGTGATTTTAAGGATTAAATGAAAAACAGAGCCCCACTAGGCATAACACACACAAATAACAAACCTAACTAACTTCCTTTCTGCCCAGACAATATTCCTATCAGGAATAGTAGCAATGAGGTTGTAAGGTAACGGCAATCATTCTCAAACGAGAATGGAATAGAGAGGGAAAAGGGGGAAAAAGAATAGATGGCCCTCTAAGGAAGGGAACCTTGGGGTTTTTTGGAGGGGTGGAGAGGAGTGTACTGGATATGCATACACGTGTGTTTAAACCCCTAGTGATTCTGAAATATCTGCCCAAATGGCTTGTTCCTTTTTATGAATTACTAAAGCAAGCAGATGTTTCAGGAAACCTCCTAGGTTTGGTCACTAACAGATGGCCTCTTGTAACATGTATTCACAAACTTTTTCCTAAAACTTCAGGTAATACAACTACAACTTCTATTGACGGTATCTCTGGGTTTTTAAACTATTCACATATAGTTTTGTTTTAATTTATAAGAGATATTTATAATCACTTTTAAGTCAACATAAATGGTTCTGTGATTTCATATTAGTTAATTAAATACCTAAGGCTCTCACAAAACATTTCCTCAAATACTAAAATTTTATCATCGAAATCAAAATTAAATTCCTGAAGATGCAGCCAACAACAGATATGATTCTTACCTTCTGAAACTAAAACAGCCTGAACACAAAAAGAGAGTGCAGCGTGATGAATTCCTTAGTATGGCCTTACGTGCCATGGTCTCCTAACTACCACCCAGGTGACTGGGCAGGGCTGTGCAAATAAGATAATTATGGCCCACCAAGGGGATTGGTTGGTTTTGCCTTAAAAGAGAGCCAATTCCGGAGCAGAGAGAAGAGCCTGCCACCACCAAGGAAGGAGAGACTTGCAGGAGACAGCGCAGTGGACTTCCTGGCCCATGGAGCGAGAAAGCTGAGTGCCTTCGGGCAGAGACTGAGGGCCAGGGAGAAGCCTAGGCCTGACCTACGAATTTGGGACTTGGCAGCCCATACAACTGAATGAGCCATTTCCTTCATCGGGGATTTGAGAATTCTGTCCGGGATTTGTGAGTTCTGTGAGACAGTGCAGCAAACTAGGGAACCCAAAGACAGGAGGGAGAGTACAGGTGAGAGGGAGCAGCTGATGTTAGAGATGATGGAGTGGTAGCCTGGAAAAGTTGGAAATTTGGGACATCTTTAACCTCTGCCTCAAAGGAACCAGCTTTGTGTTGATCCTTATAAAAGAAATCATTTGTTTAGCGGGGCATACTCACAAGACTGGCAAGTATTTTAAAGTCTGAAAATATTAAGTGTTGGTAAAGATGCAGTGCATCAGCTAGTGCTGATGGGAGCAATAAACTGGTATAATCACTTTGGAAAGCAATTTGGTACTATGTACTAGAGCTGAGCATGCTACCACTTTACAATCCAGCAATTCCACTTCTAAATTTACATGAGACTCCGGGTCATTTGCACCACGAGATTTGTAGAAGGAAGTTCGTGGTAGTACTGACTTTTAGAAATGGCAGAAACCTTGCAACAACCCCAATGTCTGCAAACAGAAAAGGAGATAAATCAACTGTAAGATATCTATAAGATAGTTATGAAAATGAATGAACTAAGCCACATTTTGGATGAACCCCCAAAACATAACGTTGAACAAAGAAAGCAAGTCACAGAAAAATTATTCCATTTATATCAATTTCAAAATCAGGCAAAACTAAATGATTTATTGTTTAGGCCTATACATGATAAGATTGGAGCCCTGGTGGTGTAGAGGTTAAGAGCACAGCTGCCAACCAAAAGCTCAGCAGTTCAAATTCACCACTCACTCCCTGGAAACCCTATGGAGCAGTTCTCTGTCCTCTAGGGTCGCTATGAGTGAGAATCAACACGACAACACGTTTGGGTTTTTGTCTTGTTTTGTTTTTTCATTTTAATGGTAAGATTATAAAGAAAAGCAAAAGAATTAACACAAAATTCGGAATACCAGTTACCTCTGCGGTGGTGGCAGGGGGCTGTGATACAGGAGAACAGATGGGGCTTCAAAGGAATTGTTAATTATTTTATGAGAACCTTGTCTGCATTAATGACATACTTCACAATAAAAGTTAAAAAGAGAGAAGAGAAAAATTAAGTCACCGGTGGGAACCTGCATAAAGAAGTAAATTGTGTAAGAGCAAAATATGCATTACAGTATACACACACCTCTCTCACATTATGCGATCCTGACCACTCCACAAATAATTCTAGAAGAAGAAAAAAAATGAAATGAAAACATTAAAGTTCACTCAAGAAAGTCTTCATGCTACGCTATATACCTGGACATCTCCCTAAGTAGGCACACAACTCCTATACTCCCTCGTTATTGGAAACCATCTTAGATGTCTGGTCTCTAAACTTAAAAGAAAGAGTCTTTCAGGTTACGGTCGGCAAATAACCTTAATTTTTCTTTATCTGCGGGATGGACAGTTTTATATTAGCAGTAACGTGTGTTCCAGAAAAACGAAGCAAAATGACTGGATGAGCAACGCACACTGACAGAAGGCCTCTAGGTAGGCTGATCTGATGTGGAGTACCAGACTGAGAAGCTGTGGTGCCAATTTCCTCTCTTGTGCAGATTTCGATTTAACCTGGCCTATAAATCTTCCATTATACGTGAAAACACCTTGCAATGAAAATACTTACAAATATAAGATGATGCACTTCTCTCCTGTACTTCAAGCAAATGAAAATCACTGATTACCCAAGGGGGTTCACAAAGCAGGTACAGGGGAGACCGATGATCAGTTACTTATACGACATGCACCCAAAAATTAAATTACAGTCAATAAGGAGTAAAATTAATTAGAAGTCTTTTCATTTGTACCTTGTCTTGAGCCTGACACTTTGTCCAATGGCTTTCCGGTGGCAGCACCTGGCCAACCACCCTCATTGCCCCAGACTAGCTCCTCACCGAAGTCCCTTCCTTCCCCAAACACCGCCGCCTACTCCCCACGGTACCCCCAATAAACCATCTCCCCTGCACGGTGCCTTTTACCAGACACACTGAAGCATCAGCGTTCCTTCAGATTTAAATCTCCCCGTATATCCTACCATGGAAACCGCGCTCCTCCTCGGGTCTCGCCTCTGCGGGGACTCCAACCACCGCGCCCGCGGAACCGCACCCACTGATACTCTTCCCTCCCCTGGACTCCGCCTCGCGGCCTTCCGTCGGTCTCCGCAGCACCCGGCGCTCGCCCCCCACCCAGGGCTCCTCTCACTGAAACCCCCCACTGTACCTGTGACGCCCGTCTTTCCACCCGGCCTCCTCCTGATCCCCGGGCCTTCGCGGTCGAGCCCAACGACCCCAGCACAGCCCAGCGCGCTAGGCCCCAAGACAGGCCTAGCGGCCTCTGCTGCCCGTTCTCCTCACCTTGCGGTCCTCGGAACCCTCTTCCAGGTCGCCCTCCGCCTCCTCACCGACCGCAGCGTCCTGCTCAGCATCGAGGCCGCCCAGCGGCTCCAGGGGCGCCGGCTGCAGCTGCCTCTCTGGTTCCGAACGTGCCCCCTCCATGGCTGCAATTCGGCGCGACAGACCCAGTGCGCCTGCGCCACCGCGCCCCGCCCACAGCCGCCGCGCCCCGCCCACAGCCGTCCTGCCCCGCCCCCTCCGCCTGAGGTCTCCAAAGCAACTAACTGGTCAGGTGCTAAGCCAGGAATCCCTAAAACGTGGAAGTTCTGTGTGGGGAGAGGAAGAGAGAAAGTCAAGGGGACAGTGAACACCAGAAGTAGGTGTTGGCACGGTTAGAATCATTCAGGTAGCTGATGACCTAAAGAAAATTTGAAGCAAAAGAAATTAGAGGCCAGTCTGACCATCACCCCCTAGAACTCTGGCTTGCCTGCCACTGTTGCTTCTTTTTCTCCCAGAAAGATCAGAGTGGCATATACGATTGACTGCCAGCAGACTGAGTAACACATTCAGCAAAAGATAACATTTGCGAGATTTTGAAGGACGTGAAGCGTTTGGCTGAAGCAGGCTGGAGGACTTGTGTAGTGTTTCCTCAAGCCCTGGAGATCTCTGATAAGTTTCTACAAACATCTCTTGTTGAATTTTCCGGAACCTGCTTCCTTGGCATTTACCATGGTAACCTCATGGGAAACGCTGACGGGGTGTACCGGATCGGGGTATCTTGAGGTTACTTCTCTTCAAGGTCTGGCTGTCAGTTTTACAAGGACGGACTGGTTTTTCTGCCTACTTGGCCGTAGTAAGCCATGACACAATTCCTCTTCCTGGAATGCTTTCTTTGGCCTGGCGGCAATTTTCCATCCATCCCCAGAAACTTCAAAGGGGCACTGGTGGCGCAACTGGTTAAGTGCTCTGTTGCTAACCAAAAGGTAGGCGGAACCCACCCAGTGGCTCCATGAGAGGAAAGACCTGGCGATCTGCTCCAGTAAAGATTACAGCCAAGAAAACCCTATGGGGCAATTCTACTCTGTCACATAGGGTCACTATGGGTCCAGATTCGGCGGGTCTGCACCTAACAACAGCTAAAATTTCAACTCAATTATCACCTCCAAGTGCTAATATCGCTTTCTTCATAAATCTGCTACGACCTTTCTCATTTTATAATGCTTTATTTCTATGTCTGTCTTCCTCAACTAGACTTTGGACTCCTTGAAGGCAAGGACCCTATCTTATATTTTTTCTCTCACTAACCCTATCACATTTACTAAATAAATGTTTAAATGCATTTTTTCAGTTTATCAGGGCTGATTCATGCTAGGCAAACTCTCAGGAAACATTTGTAAATCAGAAGGTATCAGGAGGGATACTTTTCCAGGAACAGATTTATATCCATTATTCTTTTCCCATTTTTGAGGTAACCAGGAAACTAGATCCTGGAGGCAGCAGGGTAATTGCTCTGGACTAGTGACTAGTGACCTGGTGGCACGGTGGTTAGGAGTTTGGCTGCTAACCAAAAGGTCAGCAGTTCAAATGCACCAGCCGCTCCTTGGAAACCCTATAGGGCCATTCTACTCTGTCCTATAGGGTTGCTGTGAGTTGGAATCCACTTGACAGCAACGGATTTGTTTTAATGACTTGATGATCTCACCTTGCTGTGAGTAGGAATGAGGAAAGGACTCTGGCTTTACAAAGCAGTTCATGAGGGGAGGCGACAGTGCTGTCTGCTGTTAGTAAAACAACAACGACGACAACTAAAAACCAGGAAGGTAGAGGCATCTGTGTCCCCTTCTTTCACACCCCTTTTTTTGTGTGAAAAATTTTCCTCTCAAGACTGTCTTTGGTATTCATTTTAAGTTGTTTCAGCTGGGTATAACTTCTTCCTTATATGTCCTTAAGAGATGGCCTTGAAGGAACCAAATTGGAAAAATCGAAAGGGTACTTGAAGTCTCTAAAATCGGGCAAAAAGAATTGGATGATTATTTTTCCCTATTTTATATACATTTAATACATGTTCATTGTGGAAAAATTAGAAAATACAGATACACATAAAAATAAAATAAAAACCACCCATACTCCCACAACCCCAAAACAAGCACTGTTAACACTTTGGCAGTTGTTGTCATTAGGTGCTGTCGAGTCGACTTTGACTCATAGCGACCCCATGTGACAGAGTAGAACTTGCCCCATAGGGTTTCCCAGGCTGTAATCGTTATGGAAACAGATAACCAGGTCTTTCTCCCACAGAGCTGCTGGGTGAGTTCGAACCTCCAACCTTTCAGTTAGCAGCTGAGCAGGTTAACTGTTTGCACCACTCAGGGATTCCTGACATCATAATAGCTGCAGTTTTTTATTTGACTGGTACTTTACATACATTTACATACAATGGCCCTGCAAGACAGGCATAATTTCCCCATTTCACAGAGGAAGAAGCAGGCTCCGGGCAATATTGGACAAGCTCCCTCACTCAGTAAATAAGGGGAAGACTTAGAATTCAAGCCTGTATTTGTAGGACCCCCAGAATCCAAGCCATGCTTTTGGTCCATGCTGCTTCTCTACATGAGAGAGAGAGGACAGAGATATTTTTCTGGAAAAGGAAGCAAATAATTGACAGAAATAAAAGTGTTGATTCCTCGCTTGAAAACCCAGAAAGAGAAGCCCATTTCCTTGGAATGTGAAGGCAATGTCACTCCAGTCTGGCTAAGCCTAGGGACGGGGCTTCGAACTGGTTTGTTCCTGCTGAGAATTTTCATATCCACCCCAGATATACTGAGTCAGAATCTACAGATTCCCGGGTGATTCTTATGTATAATAAATTTTGAGAACCACTGCTGCACTAGTGGTTTCTAGAATTGGTCCCTAACCAACAGCATTAGCATTACCTGGGAACTTGCTAGAAATGCAAATTCTCAGTAGGGGTTTGAACCAGAACAAACCAGTTCAAAGCCCTGCCCAGGAAAGCCAAGGCTAACTACACAGAGACTGAGGATACAGGGGCTCCCCACCCTTTTGATTCAGCCAGGGGAAGGATGTTGCCCCTTGTATATCTGAATCTGAAATCAGTTCTAATAATTTAAAAAATATTCTGTTCCCAAATCTTCTCTTTTCCAAGCTTGATTAGGTTCTTCAACAGTTCCTTAAACAACATCATTTTGAGTTATTTAAACTAATTCTATTATTCTCTTCTGAGCTCACTGCAGTTTGTCACATCCTGTCAACCTCATGGCCAAGAGAGGAAAGTAGCTCTTCTTCATTTCAAGCTTAACAAGGAAGGTTTCTGACTGGCCCGGCTTGGATGACGCTCACTCTCCTAGACCAATCACTGTGGCGAAGGGAGTTCACATATAACTTGGGGGAAGATCAATTTCCAAAATGAGAGGTGTACTGGGCAGGCAGATGGTAAATTTTGACTTTAACAATATTCCAGGAACTATTTAAATGATGACAAAGAAAAAGCTTGATGGGTAGGGCCAGGGAATAGCATGTCTGGCATCCTTCATGAACAGGAGACAAACAAGAGCAAAAGATTTAGATAGTAATAATAATAGTTAACACTTTTTAAACACTTATCATGTGCCAGCACTATGCATTGCTTTAATCCTCACAATAAACCAGATCTTAACTAGATAGTCTGAGAGGGGCCAAGGGGCTGTAGTTTTGGCTGGACTCTCTGGGAACAGGCTTGGCTGTTGAAAGTTGTTGTCCCCAGAGCACCTTATGAGTACTGGGACCCCTACTCTGAAGGGAGCACGGGGCTGCTCGGAGCCCTGACCTTCACAGCTTGACCAGCATGAACTCAATATGACTTTATTTCTTTTTGCAAAACTTTCTCAGAATTCTATTCATTTATAGTTTGCTCCAGGAGCCCTGGTGGCACAGGGGTTAAACACTGAGCTGCTAACCAGAAGGTCAGTGGTTCGAACCAGGGCTTTGAACCGGTTCTTCCCGGTTCAGTCATGGCTGAGGAAGCAAGCCAGAACAGACCCAAATTTTTTAAATTTGGGTGAACCAGAACGATAACTGGAACGGGAAAAATTATGGGTCAAAGCCCTGCTAGAAAGCTAATCATCCTCTTAGAAAACAAGGGCAGCATACGCATTGCATAGCAGCCATATCTCTTGCCCCTTGGATTTTGAGCAAAGTCGGAAACAGTGGTGCCCTGTTCAAAGATCGAAATCGACCACTGTTTTTTATATGTGTGACTTTCCACAGTCCTGGCAAGAATCCAATCTCACACATCAGGCTCCTGAAAGGCCTCACTGTGCCTCAGGTTCTGAATCTCCCAATCCAAGGCTTCAACCCATAATTTTTCCCATTCTGTTATTATTCCAGATCACCCAAATTATAAAAACTAGGATCTGTTCCAGTTTCGCTTCATTAGCCATGACTGAACTGGTTCGAACCTGTTCAAAGCCCTGGTTTGGACTCACCAGCCGCTCCCCAAGAGAATGTGGCAGTCTGCTTCCATAAAGATTTACAGCCTTAGAAACCCTGTGAGGCAGTTCTACTCCATCCTTTAGGGTTGCTATGAGTTGGAATCGACTCGACGGCAACGGGTTTGGTTTATAGTTTGCTCCAAATCTGGCGAATTCTACCCTCCCTCCTACTGGAGCCTTTCTGCTGTCCCTGTTTTAAAACGTTGGATTTGGAGTTTGGTGCTGGCAAAAACTCCTGTCTTCCATGTCAAAACCCTTTGGGATTTGTTATGGATTGGATTGTGTCCCCCCAAAAATGTGCGTCAACTTGACTAGGCCATGATTCCCAGTATTGTGTGGTTGTGATCTGATTTAATTACCTATGTAATTACCTATGTGTTGTAAATCCTAACCTCTATGATATTAATGAGGCAGGATCAGAGGCAGTTATGTTAATGAGGCAGGACACAATCTACAGGATTAGATTGTATCTTGAGTCAATCTCTTTTGAGATTTAAAAGAGAGAAGCTAGCAGAGAGGAGGGGGACCTAATACCACCAATAAAGAAGATCTAGGAGCAGAGAGAGTCCTTTGGATCTGGGGTCCCTGTGCTGAGAGGCTCCTAGACCAGGGGAAGATTGATAACGAGGATCTTCCCCAAGAACTGACAGAGAGAAAACTTTCCCCAGGAGCTGGTGCCCTGAATTAGGACTTCTAGCCTCCTAAACTGTGA